TGTTAAGGAACTTAAACTAAGTTACCATAATGGGTATATATAGTAAACAATAAGGTTTCCCCAATATAGTAACTTAATTTAAGTTCCTTAATCCCTATATTCCCCCCAGTTTCCATTTCATTTTCCATTTTCTTTTCCATTTGATTCTCCATTATGGGGGGATAATCCCTTAATTTAAGTTCCTTAAGTTCCTTAACAGCAACCCAGGATTCTCAGCAGATGATGAGGCCTGACCTCATCTCTCCTGAGGACCTTGACCTGACCGCTTGATATAGGAGACGATATCTAGGTACCCCAGTAGTACCCTTGTTCCCCTTTGTATTTTGGGGTCTCCTTATTAAAGTTGAATAATAGGAAAAAGGGTATCCTTATTAATGGGATACTGAGGAACCTAGATATGCGGTGGCTGGATTGTCCCATGTGGTGCAGACCTTCGAGCTGGTCACGTGGTGGACATAGACACTGCCTACCGCCCACATATCAAGGCGAAGGGTATCCTCCCCAAAATCACATTCATCCCCAAAAGGGGCCTTGTAAATGAGACCCCGAGCCAAAGTGCCGGTGATTGATTTGAAGAAAATGCAGTTGTGCCGCAGTGTGAAAAGTGTAAAGGTTCTACCTCCCGGTATGGCCGGGGAAGCCAGGCTGAAGGGTTGAGGATGGGTTGAGGGTTTTAGGCTTTATAGAGTTTATGTTGTAATTTTTTCGTGGTGGAGGGATAGAGAAAGGCATGTCCGAGAATATATGGGGTAACTTTCCCAAAGCACGAAACCCTTCTGACCGGGATACCGACACATCCGAAAAGGCGAGCCTGTTTTGTATTCCGCCAATTGATTGGGATGCAAGGTATTTGTCGCGACTTTACCACGGGTGCTGGACTTGGATCTGTTAGGGCAGCGCCCAACCCTTGTGACCCGTATGATTGTCCGTACAAGACAACTTGAACCTACCTCTGAGATGTACGTCAAATGTCAGTACATAGCCGCGGCAACCACCCGAAACGTGATAGACCCCATGCTCCGAAGGAAATTGTTTTGTTGGGTGTCAGGGGACGTCCTTAAACATTGCTTGGATGAACCCAGACTAGAAACCCTAAAGTACCTTTCAATTTGAGGCAATTGTGTAAGTGTTTGAAAATTCCATGTGCGCGCAAGGCAAGTTGGTAGCAAAGGCAGCCTCACCACCCAAACTGCCAATGGCGCCTGAAACAGTTAAAGTTAGAAGGTGAGGAAGATCAATATTCGGCTAGGCTATTGTTTCATGCCAGGCAGGAAAGCACTCAAATTCCCCCAGCCCTAAGCCCCAAGGCCTTAAGCGTCTTTCGCAATACATCTACCTGCGCTTGATTTCAGTGGCAGATGTCAACATTGGGATCCGCATGTGTGCAAGGCCAGCACCAGTATGGGGTTTCCAAGAATTGGGTCCTCCTTTTCAACCCCAAATGACTTCCTGGAACCTCGCATATGGCTTCAGCATGTAGGATTTTTTAGTAGTGGTGTTTTTTCACTGCCTGGTACTCCATACTTGGAGGTTCCTGGGATTCCTGACTACTTATAAGTGGACTAACAACCTTACCTACAATCCTTCTAAAACTTATAAGTGGACTAACAACCTTACCTACAATCCTTCTAAACGGCCAGTGCACTTACAACTTACAACCCTACCTGCAATCCTTCTAAATGGCCCTTTACAGGTTACCCCAGTTGTACGTAGGGTTATAAGCCCAGTTGCAAGTATGAACCTCCAAGTTGTGGGGGTCCAAAACGTTCCTAGAAAATAGGATCCCAAGAGCTTGAACCCTAAACCCTAAACCTCAAAACCCTAAGGGAAGTCTGCATGGAAGTCAGCCTTACCGTGCCCTGCGCGCTGCCCAAAAGGATTTAGGGTTTTGGGTTTAGGGTTTAGGGTTTTGCGAAGCCCCCAAACCTTTAAAGCCTTCGGCCCACAGTCGCAGTCTAAACTCTAATCCCAAAATACCCACGAGTTTCCAAACCCTTAAAACCCAAAGCCCTAAACCCTAAATCCCAATCCCTGA